TCTGGAATAAGAGAGACTATCATAGATCAAACTCACTGTTTTTTCGCAACATAAATCATATAACAAGTCAAACAACAGGACTCACTACACTTAGACTTTGAAACTGAAGGCCATTTTAATAGCCCACCATATATGAACAGATTCTTATCACTGTACTGGCAGCAATGCATGTACCCTCAACAATTCACATTTACTATAGACAGTCCACACTGCTTCTTCTTCTTTGTAAACTAGATTGGGGCTAACCATGTGGGTCAACTCCCAGACGAAGTTCCAAGCGAATACGAGACTAACGAAGAGTTCCTTCGGCTAGCTCACAAAGCCCTTCTTGAACTGGACGTCGTAGAGGGCGCCCTAGTCTGCCCAGAGACCGGTCGCGAATTTCCCATTTCCGCTGGAATCCCCAACATGCTTGTGAATGAGGGTGAATAAAGGCCATAAACTTAAATGCATGTGTTCGGTAGTTCAGCCTTATAAACTTATTTTTTACTGCAGTCTTCTTCTCCTGGGGTCTCACATTTGATTGGTCGATTTTTTCCCATATAGACCTGTGGTACCAATGTATGCTCAAAAGGGGACATAGCTCAGGCATCCATTTATTCCTAACTCTCTTCTGAAGATCGCCATTTCTATACAGTGGCATCTTTATTGGGCTTTGAAGCTTCTAGCTACATAATCTGGTCCACCGCCTGATGAATGGCTCGCAGTCAAATACTAGCGAGACTTCGTCGGGACTTACCTCATGCGAGTCCTGCTAAAGCGTCTAAATGACGTGTACAAAGAAAGTTGGCCGAAATAGGTCAAGTGGCTTTCTGTCCTGGACGAGCTAGAGCCCTTCGAGTCACTTTCTAACTGTATTTGTGTGTCATTTTGTATTACCGGAACCCTCCCAAGTATTCTTTAACGTGTTCTGGCCTTCTCTCTACTGTTTGCTGTCTCTCTCTCATGCTTTATCCTTGGCATTTTGCAGGTATAGTGTGATTGCAGGTCGTGGCGGCTTAGGTCGCAGTTTAAACGTGAAGTTAGCAAACCGGTCTATCCGTCCAACACACCAGTTTATGGTTTCAGAATTATTCCAGACAGTGAGTAAAATATGCGACCTGTCGGATGTCCTTACCGTTTGAGACTTACTTAGAGTAAATTCCCTATCTCATGAAACGTAACCCGGAATTCTGAAATGAATTTTTGATTGGAACATATTCATTGCGGCTGGTTGTAATAGAAATGATCATACAGCCTAATCTCAATATATTTTAGACACTTTGGGATGCTGGCTTTCTAACGAGCTTCTTTCTGACCGCCAAGACGAAGCATGCACTATAAAAAGTGACTACTTAAGTAGCATACCTTTTTGTCATTAATTTCGACTACCTTTATAGATTCAAATATATTTTATGGAAAACATGCGCAAAAAATATTTTTTGTACTCCTTTTGTAAAAAATTACGCCTTCTTTGAATTTTATACTTAAAGAAAGGGTAACTTTTGGTTTTAAAAAAGTTTCTAAATTGCTCAATAATTTTGAAACCTCGTGACTGCTACACTGGAATTCAAGGTTTACAAACTGCGCACTGTATACATCCTGATTAAGTAAAATTTGAGGAAGATCTCACATAGTTCTCATCAAATGTTGCAATACACAAATGTAGATTGTGTTCGACGCTTATATCAAAATCTTTAAAATAAGACCCGAACCCGTCATAGCTGTGCCACGCAGCGGCAGGATATCGGCAAAACATGTGTCCGAGCTTTTAGCTATTAGAGTAGGTCGCCGGTTATTAAGCCCACGGTTAATAAGCCCAGCCGCGTATTAAGCCCAGTTATTGAGCCAAGGCAATAGGCCCAGCCGCGTATTAAGCCCAAATCAGCTTGGGACGGAATTTAACATAACAAAATCCGCCGGCTAATAAGCCCAGTCGCCGGCTTCAAAGCCCAGTTTGCCAACAGGATAGAGTGAGATTCTCATTTCTCTGCGTGCGCAACTGGTTACAGTACGTACGTAATG